AAATGTGAAATATCTCGTTTCTTCTTTTGACGTCTACAATTAGTAAAAGACTCAGAGCTGCTAATTTATGTCTCCACGCAAGCTCCATCTTATCTTAAATCGGATATAAAGAAGTTTACGTCTATTTGTCCTGTCTGCTTGATCAGCTTTCTACCACGCACTTTCACGCATGCTTCCACGTACAGCACCCAGCTCCGTGTGATGCAAAACTGGCAGCGGGCCTAGCTTTACATCAAGCTTCGTTGCCTATTCGCGACCCAGCATGATTACTTACAAACAAACCAGCTTGAAATCACGCTTCGTGGGCACTGGGCTTTAGAGTCGAACGAACCGTCTAGGGCCTAAGATAGTCAACGACCGGAAGGGTCGCTTTTACGCTATCGATAGGTCGTTCGCTCGGCGGTCCCCTTTTCGGTAAAGGAACTGAATCCTTATTACCGGAGACGTGACCTTGTGCGATTTCAGGGAAGAGATCGGGTTAATAAATTACTCAATTTAAAGTTGAATGCTACATTTATTCAATAAAAAATAATAGATGATAAAATTTAGTATTTATACATTTAGAATTCTAACAATTTATTATAAATTTTTTTATTTAATAAAACAAATACGCTTAAGATCTAATATGTGTGTGTGTGAATGTATAGTTGTGAGAGTAAAGAAAATTATGTTCTCGCGGGTGTTACAATAGAACGAGGAACATCAACCGGAATTAAATGGGGAAACGAAAATCTGCATTCCGGCTGGAAGTTTATAATAATCAATTTAAATACTGATATAAATTATAAAAAAAGAAAATTGGAAAGTAGAGAGAAAAAGATAGGAAGACTATCAGAGATCTTGCAATTGTACTGTGGAGGGGGAAGGTAACTTCATCCAGAAGACCTCGATGGGGACGACTAGAGAAAATCGGGAACCTGGGACAAAAAATGGAATGATCGAGCCAGGTGGACTAGTACGAAGGATATAATGGAATAAGTCAAGGTCTACTATATCCGGACCGACGCGATAGTCCTCGTCCGTAAGAGGCACTGGGTAAAGAGGAAAGTGATTTAAGAGGTATCTGTACCAGTTTTCCCGATCTTGGTCTTCGAAAAGAAACCCCGACTCTCCTTCGGGATCGCAAGGTTCTTGTTTAATATCTTGCGGTTCCTCTTTGAGATCGAGAAACTTTTCTACGAAGTCTTGGAGGGCCTCTTCGAAATCGCGCGACGCTCCTGGGAGATCTGACGATTCGAGTGGTGAGGGACTTGAATGAGTAGAAATCGGATGAGGAATCGATTGTTCGGAGAAGGGTTGTGGATGATTGGAGGGTGGAGGGGGAGTGGGAATTCGCGAGGGTTGAGATTCGGGAGAAGGTGAGTGAATACGCTCGGAAGAAGAAATAGGAGAATAAGAAGGAGGAGAGGGGGAAGAAAAAGAAAGGCGAGGTTGTGTATCGTGTACTTGTGTATTGTGTAAGTCTTACTGATTTAGCTTAAGTTTAGTGAAATTTCCAACAAAATTGGGGTCTACGGACGCTCGAGCCAATTCCTTCTTAAGCCAATAATAATAGGATTGTGTGGTAAGAAGAAGATGTGTAATAATTCTTGGAGTTTCTGTTTTAAGACTTATATCCGGATAATAAAAGTTGTTATTTAAATATTAGGTATATAAAAATAGATATGTTTTATATTTTGTTTTTTTAATTTATATATATATATATATATATATAAATTAAAAAAACAAAATATAAAACATATCTATTTTTATATACCTAATATTTAAATAACAACTTTTATTATCCGGATATAAGTCTTAAAACAGAAACTCCAAGAATTATTACACATCTTCTTCTTACCACACAATCCTATT